AAAGCTAGTTACCCTTTCCCGCCTGTGGGACAAGGGGCATTTGTAATCATCAACTTATAGTGGATTTTTACAACTGGGCCAGGCCCCGTGGTTTTTCCCCTTTTTACGGGTTTTCCACGTAAAAATTTCTGGTGTGATCACAGCTCGATTCATTTTATCTGAGTGTGTGCTGAATTCTCGTGCAACGCTAAGACGATAATCCATTACTCTACCGCCACGAATTTTCTAGCACGCATCAAACCTTATGATTAAAATATGAAAGTAAGGATGAAAAACTAGACATCAACTAATCCATAATACATCTCAAATAGTAAAAATCAACGAGAAGACAGTATAAAACATAAATTTTATATCACCCAAAGCTTTTCATATCACATAAAAAGGGCACTATTTCAACTTTGAAGAGTAAAATACTCCTTTTAATGCATAGATAAAATAACTTTATACAAAAATTAAAATCTAGGCTATATATATGTGAATACATATGAATTACACTCATATGACAAGAATTGCGGATGAAAAGTCCTCTAAGAACAACATCACCACCCAAATTTAGTACAAAATCCTAGAAATTAATCCAAAATAAATTATCAAACCATGAATTCTACAAATAAAACATGGATTGCATAACACAAAATCACAAAACCATAGTAAGCCAGCCTAAAAATACAATAAAAAATAGAGCAAACCCAACATCAAGCAATTGAACCCAACCAGAGTAACCCCAACTATAGCCTACCAAACCCTTACCAGAGCAACCCCAACTATAGCCTACCAAACCCTAACCAGAGCAACCCCAACCATATGCCAAAAAATATTTTCATACAGAGCACAAAATCTTTCTAAACTGATATACAAGAACATAATTCTTATGTATTTACAAAGCTCACACCTAAAATTTCAACATAGAGCAGAGAACAACACAGATACACAATAAACCCATAAAAATTGAAAATGAAATAAACATCCACGAACTCCAAGTCAAAAGCATGGAAAGCAAAACTATAATAATGTGGAATGCACACCCTAAACAAATAATTAAACACATCCTTGCATAGAATAGATCAAACTTCGTAAATCCGATGATGGAGAAGAAAAATTAGACCAAAGCACAAGAAAGCTTCTTTGGGTGAACAAAATAAAATAAGAACAAGGGGAAACATACAGACGATTCGAAGGCGGGAAGATAGACAAATAAAGCCGCTCACTGTTATGCCTCATAAAATCCGTAACATGTGATTCTCCCAGTGAAAACGGGATATAAGCCGCAAAGATCAAGAGTATTATCACAGATAAAATAGAGAAATAATAAAAATGTTAAATAAGTCACAGTGTAATTTACACATCGTATCGCAGTCTGTTCCACAGAACTAGCTTTGCCCCTTCATTTGCAAAAGCCTAGTTTTGTGAATAAGATTTAAGAAAAAAACAATTAGAATATGGGCTCTCAAACAACCCCTGACTTGCTTTCCAAAACGGAAAGTGACTGAAAAGCCGCCCCAGACGGGCTCTTATTTACAACATATTTTTTTATTTAATTTGTATAAAATTATTTGAAAGTAATTCAAATTTTATTCAATTACTAATTTATTTATATTTGTGAAATCATTTTTTGTAAATTTTATATGAAAACCCAAATAATCGTTAAAAATTTTAACTTGTTTATTAACTCATTTAAATACCCATTCACTTGACATAAACAAATCTAGTACAAATCTAATTCAATTATTGAAAAGTTTAAAGAAGTTAATCTTAAACATCAACACAAGCTCAAGCCAAATATATCAATCTTAGAAGACCAATTAAGACCCTTAAGCAAGATTAAGATAACAAAAAAGAAAGAACAAAACGTTTACAACTAAGTATAATAAGTGTTACATGTAGAAAATTTTCTCAAGAGGACAGACCTCAATCATCTTAACTATTTTTTACCTCCCATGCATAATCAGATAAGTAAAGAAGAGTAAACTACAAATGTTTTCTGAAAAAAATTGAATGGAGAAAAGCCCTACACATTAAGTTAGCTACAATGATCTATTATTTAGTAAAAATAGGTATAACTTTGATCAACATCTTAAGGATCATAAAGACTTCAATATTACTTACCTCTCTATATGTCAAAGAAGGTGGCACCAAAGGAGTGAAAATTGGTTCTTGCACATTTATTAGAAATGCTACTTGTTTCTTGATATTGCTTGGCACAATACACATTTGGCCAGACAATTGACCAATTTGATAGAGAGAAAGAAACCATCAAGATTTAGATTGAAGCAACCACCAATGAATTTAACAAATTACTTGATGAATAGTTCATTCGAGGGGGTAGGTACTTAAAAAGAAATCAAATATGATATTGTATAAAAAAACTAAGATTATTAGAGGATGTATGTTGATTTCATTAAGGTTGAATATTCATGCCTTCATAACTTCTATCCTTTTTCGAGCATTCATATAACAAAATGATCAAGCAAGCCTTTGATTATGCTCGTAACTACGTTAGAAATTAGTAATTAGACAGTACTTCAAATTTGTTACAGCTAGAGAGAACCCTATGTCATTTATCCACAGGACTTGTACGTTGCAATCAACTTAACGACACAATGCATGCCCAAGGGAGTCTCAACCTTCTTCAAGCAATTACACCGCCATGTTCGACCTTCCTTCTCTCACTCAACTTAAATGACTTTTTTTTACCAATAAAGATGTATTTGAAACACTTGGCGGCTACATTAAAAATGGAAGAATTAACTACAGATAGAACTAAACCCCAATGAAAATGAATTCGTTTATAAACATTAAATTTACGAAAAAGAGAAAGAATTATAGACTAACGGAAAAAAATCATCAACGTCACATTACAGATCGAAGAATAAAAGAATTAACTACAATACATAACAGTTATTTCTTGTTGAACCTAATTTTTCTCAATTGATGGAGCACTCTGTAGGCAGCCCTTGTGGGAATCGCTTGTGATCGGCGCAGTAGTTATAGATCATGTAATTGCTCTGTACCGACGACATCCTCTTCTGGCTCGTCACATCCATCTCGTAATCCATCCACGTTCCTGCTCCGCCGCATCTTGATCCGCCGACGACGCAAGCATCCTCGTTGAAGCCACGGTAAGAAGCAGTGAATGGCGCGTTTTTCCAGTCCGTCTTTATGAGTCCTCCCCGGGTGGCCCAGTCGTCGGCGTTCCAGAGGCTGGAGTAGATCCTCATGGCCTGACTCTTTGGGAATCCCACCCCTCTTGTCTCCAGATTCCGGAATACCCTTATGGGCGTTCCGTCCACCATGAATCTGCGCACATACATATTGCTCAAAGTTAGCATTTTTTTTAATCCTATTTGTTAAGTAATTACTAAAAATTCGTTTTTTTTTCTTGAAGCAGAGACTACTTACATAATTTGTTGGGGATTCCATAAAACAGAGTAGGTGTGGAAATCGCTGGTGGGATCGAACCAGAGCTTGAACTGCATCTCCCGGTTGCCCTTTCCCTGCGTAAACACATTGGTGTGCAACGTGTAAGGGTCGCCGCTAAGGTTTCCGAGGAACTCGAAGTCGATCTCATCATGTGTCGGCCCCTGAGACGACAGCTGCAGGAGAAGAAGGACACCATCAGTTTAATGAAGTGTTGAGTTCTCACCAGCATATATATAGTATGTTGATATAATGGAGAGTGAATTGAGTGAGAATGTTACTTACGTAGTAAGCGGTGACTGTGCCGGCGGAATTGCCCGGGACGAGCTTGAGCTGCATGTCAATCTTGCCAAAGAGGTACTCTCTCTTGGACTGGAATCCGGAGCCAGAAGCCTTATCGAGTGAAAGAGTCAGCAGCTGGCCATTATTAAGGATCTTAGCGCGGCCGTCGCCCCTTAGCCCGGCCGTCGCCCCAAGTGATGTCGAAGTCATTGTAGAAGTTTCCTGCGGCAGCGGTGGCTAGCAGGCCAGTATAGTTAGCAGCAGCGCATTGGCCATTGTGGAGTTAGTCATCATGAAGCAAGCTTCGAACAGATGATGGAGTGAAGAATTGGAGATTTGACTGGCTAGTTTATTGGAGGCGGAGACTGATTTGGGTGAGGAGTTGGGAGCTGAGGTTGAAGGATTTTTATAGTGGGGGAGAGAGTGATGAAGAAGAAAGCGCGGAGGGAGGAGGTGGGAATTAGATTGGAGATTTCCTATCTGGAGTTTGTTCACACTTCTGGTCACCGGGTATTCTTAGCTGGCAGCAGTCTGGGAACAGGACATAGCATTGATGAATTAAGGGGCACGCCGCACGCGGTATGCTCCTGTTAATTTGTTAAATTATACTTTTTTTATGTTATTGTTATAAAAAATAGAACACTCTTTTGCATTTTATCACAAGTAAAACGTTTTCAGCCTGAGCTCATATTATAGAAGTAGAACCGTAGGGCTTGAGCAATCCTGATATGCCCCCGGTTAACCTTAAGCATTTTCTTATTTAACATTCCACTTAACGAAATAAGTGGAAGAACTCCTTGAATCATTCTGGAGGTTTTCCTACCTGTCACTCCGTGGAATCCTGATTTGTCTATCGCATCCAAAGAATAAACCTTAATTAAAAGAGATAGAAATAGAACTAGCAAGGAAGAGAACCAGAGACGAGAAGGTTGGCTAAGGTTGCTCGACATGAGTTAGTCGGTTTATATGACCAAACTGTCAATCTTGGACCCCTTATGAAAGTCCTCTTGTATGCCTCTAGAAAGGTTGGAGGTGCTAGAGAACTAGATTGTTCTTGGACCAGCTCTCCTGTGAAGATTGACTTGGATGTTTTTTCTTTTTTTTTTTTGCCTTGTTGTTGTCTAAATGGCTCGTTCTTATATCATTCAGTCGTCTTTGCCCTATTTCGCGGTTCGGTCGATATTGGTGTCACTGGCTTTGGTTCGTATAGCTTCATTCAATCGGACAAGAGGGTCTCATGGTCTTGTTGGGTTCTCCTTCGTCATAATCTTTTCTTCTAGACAATTTTATCTCATAGAAATCACCACAAATATATTTTTATGTACATATTTTAATTTCTTGATTCTCTTAATTGTTGAAAGCGACGCTTCGATGAGAATAAAAGAAATTAATAAAAAAAAGTAGATCATATTTATTATTAATAAATAATTCAATAATTGAACTCTCTCAATTTATGCGTCTTTGATTCTTTTAAATAAAACTCGACCGACTCCTTCACATTCCTTATTTGCTCCATGACCCCCCTCGTTTGAAGGGGTTGGCTTCTGAGTGTTATAATGGAAAACGTGTCCAATCCCTTGGTACGTATTCTCAGCAAAGATATGCTTTGTGCCATCTCTAGGAGGCTGAAGAAGTGGTGCCGCCCGAAAGGTGAAAGAAAGAAGGAAACCATTGTTAAGAATAGAAAAATGGCTATGATGGCAGGTCGGTGAGTTCATCTGATTTTTTCCTCGTCACTAAACTGAGGAATGCTAAGGAGACCTGCTCAACTATCGATCCGTCGGCTCAACCTTCTACTACAGCCCAAAACCCGTCGACTGAACAAAACGTGCAAGAGGATGCTAGTGTTCTGCCTCCACGTGGTGAGGGTATTATGTCAATCACAACGTCTGAATTAGATCGACTTTATTGTATAGCCAAATTTAACATGGTAATTCACAACACTTAATGTGTACCTAATTATTTTCAAAGCACTCTATGGGGAGCCTTAAGGATTGCAGCAAGCAAAGGTGCAAAATATTTCATATTTTACATTGATGA